AGATTAAGTATTTGTGTAATAATTATATGTATACTGATGTTATCTTAAATTCATCGTGACTTTAGTAATAAAACTGCGTATGTAAAAACTATAATTAACAAATCTGCATGAGATATTCGGATAACGGATTTCCTCGGAAATGTCTTTTAATTAAAAGGTGCACGGCAAACGGTCTAAAGCGGTGTTTAATTATAACGACCGCCATCGCGATATACCTTTACAAATCCAAGCGATTTAGTGACCGTGTTTCCACTCTCGCATGCAATCGGAAATCAATAAGCAAACCAAAGCGTTGTTTTCAGAGCAATCTTCGTCTCGAGATACATTTACAGATAAATCATATATCATTCCTCTCATCTATTAATTAAGTTTGATGAAGACTCGAAAAGTGATAAAGTCGAAAATATATCACGAATAAATCTAAAACGCTCTTATTTTTAATTGTAAAATTCTTAAACTACTTTTTACGAGAAAAAATACATTAAATTTATAGATTAATATATTACATTTAATTTTGTTAATTTTTAGATTAATATATTACATTTAATTTTGTTAATTTTTAGATTAATGTATGATATTATATTTAACTGTTTTAAAAGGTGTTGATTTTAAGACAAAAACATTTATAATTTAATTAAATTAATTTAATATAAGAAAGTTATGTCTCTGCAAATATATGTGTTTTTGTAAATATTTCTCACCGAAAGAAGTTTTATAAGACCTCGTAAATTTATAGTCAACTATAATTTGCACAGTCGTATTTATAACATTAAATTAGGATGCCCCTGGTAATGTAGAAGGCTTCTTATCCTCTATAATATATAGGGAAGATTATTTAATACATATGCATATATATATATATATATATAGACACACATATTATACAAATGCTGAAAGTGTAAAACGCGCTCGCCTGTAGGTATGTGTTAAAACATATTACTGTAATACTCCTCCCCGTATGTATTCAACATTGCCCTGTTTCTGTACAAATGGGATTTCATCAGGCGACGGTAATAAGAACGGAAAGGCATGTCAGAAATCTTGAAAATTATTGGTGTTGAAATGGAAAAAATAAAAGAATATATTCTATGCGTAGCAAAATTTTCTGCGAAAATAATTAATAACAAAAATTCTGATGCGTTGCGACAAAATACACATTATTCATAAACATATGAAAATTACGAAATATATATACAATGTTAATCATTTTACACACACATATGTTTCGGATTTTATAAATAATTGAAAATAATTTTTTAAATAATAAAGATCTTTTCAGAAAATATTTATTGAGAGCACACATCTGTTTTAAAGACGACATTCGCACATCTCTATCGCAAACGAGTTTAATGTATACGGGGAAGCATTAATCTATCGCATTTAATGCCTGCACCTGTCGAGATAAGCACGACAAACGTGAATCGTGAAACGTGCGTGTAAAAACAACCTTGAGCCGCGGTTATTACTTTAATTCCCGCATTATATGCTTGCTTTGAAAGTGATTTCCAGTCGAACGAGCAGCGAACAACGCGCGCGCACGATAAATAAATCACTGGCATCCTTGGGACACTTTGATCGTCGGCGGCTCGTCGAGAGGGCTCGGCATGAGAAAGTGCGAGATCCACTTACGATCACGTATGCCGTCAGAACTCGCGTGAAAAATGGCTCGTAGAGACGAGCGACATGATGGAGAGGCGTAGCAAGTGGGTGAAGTTACAAGGGGTAGCCGCGAGAGAAAACAAGATCACGTTGAAGGAGGAATCTCCCGGAAGCGACGGCATTTTATCCGGGCGGCACAATATGTGCACAAGGGATTTATAAACTTTCCGGGACCGCGCGCGCGAGAGAGAATTTACTCCGTTACCTGTCCGCGAACTTCTTCCTCAAGCCGGTTTTGCGCAAAATGAATCGACCGGGCTCTGAGTGGTTCCATAAATTCCGGAGTGCCGCGGGATAACGCCGTCGGGACGTTGACAAATGTAAATAAGATTGAACTCTCGCGCCGCGTCGATTTAATGCGCGAATCTAGGCGAGCGAAAAAAGATGGAAGCTTCAGATGTTAAATGTTAAGGAATATTTTTTTTTTTCTACCAGATATGCGGCGAACTTATGCCCAAGAACTCGCGCTATCCGATGACACGATGTCGGAGAATATACGATCGATAAGCATTAGAGCAGGACAAAAATATGAGAAGTAATATTATTAATAAATTAAATATAGAACAGAGAGAGAGAGAGAGAGAGAGAGAGAAAGAGAGATTTAAATTCTATCTAGACAATTTATACATTAAATTTTTTTATGTAAATTGGAGAGAAATTGCAGAGAAAGAAATAAAAAGGTATATATAAATATTTCTGAAACTTTAAAAAGATAGATGTATTTACGAGAGAGAGAGAAAAAAAGAAAATTTTATCATTTCTCTGAGAGTGTTGTTCTATAAAATTTTGGCATATAAAATATATTTAATCAATGATCATATATAAATAGTCAATCAAAGATAAAAAGTTGTCAGTTCTATTTTCAGAGAACGTATCAACATTGATATAAATCACTTTGCGTGATTTCTGTTCTTCAACAAAGCTCAAATTTGTTGGCTCGCGCAATCGATAATTCTCGAAGGACTCTGACGACTTGATAATAGTATAGGTATTGAATAAAGCGAACACACATAGTGACAGTACTCGTCCCATCTACGTTGACCTTATTAGCGATGCACATGGTGTCGTGGCCACGTTCGTCTCGCGTTCGAATATTGTATTTAAATATCCTTCTGATACCTGAATTTTAAAATGTGCGCGTGCAATCATTATAAAATCAAATGCCTTCGGCAGATTTATGCATTTTATCAATCATTGGAATAATGGAATCTAAAATCGGAATAAAGAAAAAATTATTGCTGGAGCGAGACAGAGTACCGTGCTGAAATTTAATAGATTCGCCAGATAGAAAGAGGCCAATTTTTATCGCCCGATAGATGGGCAAGCACATCGAAAGCAACAAAAAAAAAAAAAATATATAGACTACCGAGGAACAATGGAGAATGGGATAGGTACCCCGATCGCTTAGAAGGGTATGAAAGAAGATAAAGAGGCGCCCCTGCTTCGTCACTCTGGGAGAACTCCTCGAGAAGACGGTGTCGACTACTCTCTCTTTTCTTCCAGGAACTTTTAATTTCCGGTATTTACCGGAGGGAGGATGGTCCGGGACGATAACAAGCGTGCGGTGGATGGACAAGGACGGTGGGATGGAAACGGGGGGGGGGGAGGGAGGGAAGGCGAAGAAGAGACGGTCGACTTATCGTTTACAATGATAGTCGTCGCGCACGAGAAAATCGCAATTGAGTTCGGTTCGACGATACTGAAAAGCTCAGCGCCGCCGGCTGCGAGCAGCTCTCGCTGGCTCCAGCTATTGATCGGAGGCCGACCGACCTGGGTCAGAGTGTAGCGGTGTGGACTGGCATCGGTGCAAGCTGTCTACGTGTGCAACGTGCGGATGTGTGTGTGGCACGTGCACCCCTGCTGCACACACCGGCACGGGACCGCGCCGCTGCACACATCGACATCGCCAGGATCGTGACCAGGAATTTTGTCCTCTCGGGCGAAACGCTGAAATAGCACCCCCTTCCCCTACCCTCGCGATATTTTAAGGAATCCAGTGAAATCTTGAAAATTAATGCAATCAATATGTATGTTACATACACACACGCACACATAGAGAAAATATATACGTAGGAATATATAATTATAAAAAATAAATAAATAATATAATTATAATAAAAATTTTATTTCGGATATCATTAGCCATGTGTGTGTGAGATATTTTCAAAATATTTTTTTTATAAAACGCAAGATTACATATAGCAAAATATTTTGAGAACAATTTGTTATATTGCGCGCATTCTAAAATCATGGAAGAATAATTTAAAATTATAATTAATTAATTTTATTGACACTTTGACATTTCAGATTGAAAAATCGACAAAAAAATTAAATTCAACAAAGAACTCGTCATTGAAGTTAAATTAGAATTTACATACATATGCGTCCGAAATTTGCCACCCTTAAGATCTTATTCAAGCAGTCAAAAAATCTCATCTCTAATGACGATCCTGGACGCTTCACACGAGTAAGCGAGAGCTGCATTGACTGCAACTATTCTTTTTAAGCGCCGCGAACCAACATGAACGAGCGCGCCACCACATTATTTACCTTGCCACTTTACTTCTCGCAGCCTTGTGTAAATATATATATATATATATATATCCGACGAGGTCGCGGTAAAATTCACGCTGGAACAAAGGGGACGGCGAACGAAACGGGTCCATCGGAATTCCGGTAATACGGATCGGCCCGCTAACGCCAGAATCCACGGTCGGGACACGCGGCTACCACAAAGAGGGATGCGCTCCAGAACGCGAGTGCATCCGGATGTAAGATGCATTATTGATACTTTGGCCCCGTTTCATTCCGGAATAAAGCCCGTTGTTAAATGCCGCACATTACATGGATTACCGTTTGCTAATGATACGGATTAGCAGACTATTTGTTAAATAGTTGGACGTTCGAGATAGAGGAGAAAACGTTTAGATATCCATCAAGAGAATCGTCATAATGTGAGCATACAAATATTTATATATATTATTGAATAGAAAATGTATATTTTTTTTAATAATTTACTTTGTCCCTCTCTCTCTCTCTTGATAGTTTCCTAACTTTAAAAATACTATTCGATATTTAATTTCTATTCCGTATATTTCTTTTTCGTATGTATCCTCAAATATTTAATATCTTTCATATCTGCACGTTATCCATAATTGTCGTCGACTTGTGCATCGTGCGAAATTGCAGTTTAAAAGTATGACATTAACGCGATGTCGTGCAATCGAGAAATGTGACATCGACGAGTCTTTTTAAATATCTAGGTTACGTATATTTTTTTATTGACCCGCAAATTTAATATATTCGTGTCTAACGAATATAAGCAAATATAAGCGACTTACCTCGTTGGTGTTCCATCGATGCCTCTGAGTTGGAAAGTGTTCAGCTCGCGGCAAGGTTTCCAGATTTTCGGGAAGCTTTATCGGGTCGCCGTCTGCGTGATAAATTATCTCAATTAATAGCTGTTCTCGCTGGAGAGAGAGAAAATGTGGGATCGTAGAAAACATAAATTTTTGGAAACGATTTGTTCCGTATCACCCGTTACATTACTTAACGGAGAGTCTAAATTTATGCCGTTGACGTGCGTGTTGATCAATCGTGACAATTTTACTGCGGATCGATAAGCGGATCGTTATTGTGTCATGAACAATGAGCATTAGCGACTGCCCGCTCACACTCGGCGACTTTAACATTACGTGCATGTGTCATTAGCTCTGTTTATACACAACCGATCGAAAAGTTCCATCGATCTACCAGTATATGCCGGCGCTGTTCGCCATAAAATAGCATTCGTAATAAATTGCACCTTCCACGAACGCCGTGAGTTACCTACCAGCGTTAGAATGCAAAAACTCGACGGTATAAGGATTCTTTTACCAAGAGAATATTTGCACGCTATTTGTACTTTTTTAGATACAGTCGAGAAACATTCTCTTCCCTCTATGCAGAAAAAAAAGTTAGAAAATAGTTTGTTATAAAAAATAACGAACGATAGTCAGAGCCTTAAAAAGTTAAAAAAATACATAGTAATTCAATATCATTTAAAAAAATTAATTATATATGTATGCATATAATGTATGTTAATGTAAATAGTTTATAAAATTTGTTCTATAAATTTCTTCTTTTATAGTGCTATGTAAAAACCTTTTAAAAAGTATTTAAAAAAAAAAGTTTAATCTCAATACTATATCACACACATTCTCATGTAATATATGTAAATATCATTTAGTAAATTTATATCTCCTTTCTAGAAGAAGATTTATACTATAAGATAAAATTTATTTTTATGACAGATTTTAAGCAAAGGGGAAATAACGCGCCATTCTAACAAATATCATAAAATCAGAATGTATGCGTTGTATTCTTGAATTATTGGACGCATTTCTATTTCGAGGCATCAAGCGAGTTATTATTTGCTTGACAAAATGCTCGCGCTTCGCAGCTTGCATTTTCTCTCGATATTATTGATATTACACATAGGAGACATATGTGCTTTCTCACTAGTCAATATGATATATCTGCGATATCATGCATCGTGTGTTCTCAAATCTTTTATGGTATAAATACGAAACAATAAATCTACTGTTGTAACCGAGCATCCTTTCTGCGATTTATGCAATGCATTGCATGAAATTGAAAGGATCAGAAGCTGTCATAAATATAATTTATTCTTTAACGTAGTCTTTGATATGCAACTTTTGTTAGTGTCTCCGGAAGAAGTACCTTCACGGAAACTTCAGAAAGAAAGAACTAAAAGCCGCGTGTTGGGAAAAAATAATGCTAGAAATGAGGGCAAATATGGCTTACCGTATTTTTCTGAAACATAAGAAATTGTGTCATATATAAACTTAAGCTACGATCGCGATCGGGAAGTTTTTATGATCATATAATTTACAGTAACCTTGTTATGCTTTAATTACCTGCACGAATAAATTCATCGCTCAGGTGCAATTTTTTTTCTTACTTGGGAAAATTCGTTAAAATTTTTCCGCACGATTAAAAATCCATACGTCGTAAGTCAATACGTTGTATCGACGAGCGTACATCTGTTCGGTAGCTTACTTCCATGAAGTTTTTCCCATAGACGTGGCAAATTACTGTGTTTTAACTTAGTTGAAACTAAGTTTCGTCCATAGCGAAATGTTTACCGGAAATTGCTATTCAGAGTTAGCAAGAAAATTATCTAAGAAAATCAAATATTTATTTAACGACTCGCGCTTAGCTTTCGGCCGTTTATAGCTTATGCAATATTCATCGATTTGCGAAACTTGCCGAAACTAGGTGCCGTTAACTAAACTTTCAATCATAAGTACGATACTCTTAAGTGCAGTCGCCGCGGTCTCCTAGATTTAATGGTAATGAAAGGATGTCTATTTGCCTGGAACTTTTTAACGTCACGACGTTACTTAGTTAAATATCGTTACACTGTAAGTACAATGTAAATATTTCACATGATAATTTCATACATCTTTCGTAATCTTGCCTGAATAATATGAAAAAACAATCTGAACATTACGCGAATATAAAAACTTAATAATATCTGCGATTCATAGTTAAAGATATAAAATTAAAATTCGCCATTTACAAAATTTAATACAAAATTTTGCAACGCGCAAATCTATGAAAAAAATTATTTTGATAAATTAAAATAAAACTCTTGACACGCGCATCGATTAATAAATTTTATTTAATAATAAAAAAAAAATGATTAACGCGATTAAATCGAAAAGAAAAGAATAAAATTTATTACATTCCTAATGATATTTGAAATAAATTCCACACAACCCTCAGTAATAAATCCAAGACTGAAGTGTCCCACACATCGTCATGGAGTTCTCTACCGGGTGCATAAATAGCAGATAAACTCACTTGGAGCGAGGGGCGTCGGGTAAGTCGCGTGGTAGACGACACGCTGTGGATTCGAATGATTGTAGCCCGCCATCTCCGTGGTGGTGGCGCGTGTTCGCGCTGCTCGGATCTTACCGATCGCCGTGGCCGATCGTCATCGTCCTTGAACGTAGGGGAGACGGGAGCGTAGCTGGGCCCTGGCGGGCATCCCTGAACGGACTCTTCTTGGCGACGACCCCGCGCCGTGCTTGGATGATCGCGTACCTGATATGATGGCCGTTTGCCGATGATTGCGCTTCTTCGATCGGGACGAACTGAGGGGATGGTCCTCTTTTCGTCAGGACAGCTTGACGGTCGCGGGATCCAGAACGTAAGAATGACACTCGGATCGACGTTGTCCTTGACGTTGTGAGGATTGTTCTCCAGAATGACAATTCCCACTGGAACGGCAAGACATATCCTCCCAAAGGAGCGTGCACGCGAATCGGATTATGTGATTTCAAACCGGATATCGATCAACGGTGTTATAAACGTGCCGCGATTCCGATCAGTCTTCTGGATCCCCCTGACAATCGCCTTTTGTCCTCTTCGCGCGACAAATTTCGAAGGATTAAAGTTCTCGCAATGTCGTCGTATCGAAGGATACACGTGAAAGTGCACGCGGAAACACAAACAGGATCGATCCTCCGTCCTCCTTTCCTCGATTCTCTCGATTTTCGTTCTCTCTCTCACGCTTTTTTGTTAGATTCTTCTTCTAGTATAAAAAATTGGAGCTCCATTGTTTTTTCTACACGAACCTTCCTTTTCCTCGTCGCTTCCTTCTCCCTCCCTTGATCGTTGATTGCGCCTCGATCCGAATTTTCTTCTCCCGTTTTCGTGAACGTTCCCTGACGTGGGCGCGTTTCCGGTCACTACTACACACTCTTTTTTTTTCTCTCTCGATGTATATGTATATATATATATATATATATATATATATATCTTCTTATTTCTTCCAGAATTCCAATCTCTCTTTGCTCTCCCTTTTTGTTGTGCGCTCCGGAGCTCTTTTTAGTCTTCTTATATCCTAAGTTACAACACTGAACCCGTCCCCATCGGAGGGACAAAATAATGTAAGGGTCACACAGAGTACAGAGGAAACTTAAAATGCGATTATCCCGTCCCGTATCAGCCGACGCGCGCTATTTTACGATCTCGCCTGTCGATTTCTTTCTCTATCCCCTTTCTCGCGTTTATATTTTCGTCTCGTCCTCTTCACTTTTCGCCGCGTCGTGCACCCATCCGAACGAGAAATAACTTCAGAAAATAGACTTTTCTATCGTTCGACTTTTTTGTAGCTTGTTTCTTGTTTACTGTGTACTGCTTGTGTGTGCGTGTGTTGCAAACACGTTTGCTTTGGAAAAAAGAAACCGGAAATGGAATTACCTCTATGTTTCGCTCTCTCCCTCTCCCTTCCTCTCTCGCTTTTTCACTCACTCGCTTTCTCTCTCTCTCTCTTTCTCTCCGGCCACGCGCTCTCGTTCACTTCGTGCGTCTTTCTTCCCTTCTTTACCCTTCTTTCTTTTTACAGACGGTTGTCTTACGGGTGTAAGGTAAGTTTTAAAGAGAGTCCTTATAGGAGAAATGTGTTGTTGCTGTTTCGTGTTTACAGTTGTTAGTAGTGTTATTTACAAATATGTATTGTTTTTGTTAATAAAATAGTTCAAATTAGTCTTTGGCCCCGCGTGTCTGCTCCCGAGCGGCGGGAGCCGCAGAGTGAGGCAGCCCGCGACTCTCGACCTCCGTCCACCCTCCACGTCGCTGCTCTCCTCCCTTCTTCATCCCTCTTCGCCCCCACCATACGGCTGTCCCGGAGCCCTCCAGCCCCTACTAGCACCACCGGCACCCACCACCACAAGCCGTGAGGGCGATCGCTCTTCCTTTCTCTCTCTCTATCTATCTCTCGGTGAGGTCCGACTATCCGGCCCCAGCCACAGCCCCTACCTCTGCCCCCGTCCCTATCTCTGCCCGCGGTGTCTGCCGAATCCTCACTCTTACCAACCCTTCACTCACCCTCCTCTGCTTTCTTCCATCCGTTACCATCCCGTTCACGTTCCTATTCTCTATCTTTCTCTTCCTTTCTCTCTCTCTCTCTCTATCTTTCTCTCGCGACTTCCTCACCTATGTCTACTTACCACTTTTATGCTTCGCGGTGTGAGTGCACTACCGTGCCAATTTCTGTACGAAGCTACCGATGGTGCTGTTCGTTACTTACCTACCTACCTATCTACCTAGCTGGCTGGTTACGTTAGTTACCTAACGTACCCCCCCGAGAACTCGTTGGAGTTGTAAATTAAGGATTACCGAGGATGCAAATTAATGTCAAGGTATACGCGTACGGAAAGAGAATCGCGTTCGGGGATCGTCCGTTTTTTACCGTTGCGGAACCGAACCAAGTGTCGCTCTGCGTCGACCTCGCGAGATAATCATCCGTTATCCGGTCCTCCGCGGATTCGTTCTACGCCGTGCCAAATAATTCTCATCGTCGACAAATCGACGCTCATACGTCTAACGCCTCTGTCGTCAGAGCCGATAAATTCTTGCGGC